CTCCTCAAAACCCAGAAGCCGTTTTCTCCCTTCTTTTTATCTTTATTCCTACTGGTTCCATAATCATGGAAAGTGTGAAGTTTTGAATTTTTGGTCCATTCCTGATAACCAAAGAGTAGATAGACGTGTTTTTTATCTTAATTCTGTAGAGAAAGACAAACTTTATCCTCTTCAGTTCTGCGTCTGGGCCTTGTGAATTAAACTGGCAAAGGACACATTGAAAGGAGGAAAGGCATACAAATTTTACCTAAAATTTTATGTGCATGGGGAGGTCTATAGAAAAGAAGTAAAAACCCCCAAAAGCAGTAGTCTTGGGGATTTAAATACCGTTTTAACCAAATTCTTAAATTGTTAAGAAATGTAACTGAGGCTTGGCGCCTGTGGCTCAAGTGGCTAAGGCGCCAGCCACATACACCTAAGGTGGCGGGTTCAAATCCAGCTCGGGCCCGCCAAAACAACAATGATGGCTGCAACCAAAAAATAGCCAGGTGTTGTGGCAGGTGCCTGTGGTCCCAGCTACTTGGGAGGCTGAGGCAGGAGACTCGCTTGAGCCCAGGAGTTGGAGATTGCTGTGAGCTGTGATGCCAGAGCACTCTACCCAGGGGGATAGCTTGAGGCTCCGTCTCAAAAAAAAAAAAAGAAAGAAAGAAAGAAATGTAACTGAAATGTAACTGGGGCTGTTAGGGGCAGAAAATTGTGGGAAGGTGAATATATGAGGGAAAGATAAGGGGTATTTAGTGGTTTTCTTTATTCAGACTCATCTCCATCTGTAGTGCCTTCTCCATCTATAATGAGGAAGGTTGTTCCTTCCATCCTAGTACCAGAGAGAACATCTTCACAAGGGAAATTTATGCCTTGCTTATTATAGGCAAACAGGGGGAAAGTGGAGAGCTTTTCCTGCATCTGCTTTTTCTTAACTACCTTTAGCTCAAAACAATCAATATGCCCAAGTAGGATATTCCGATCCCATTTAACCATTTTTGCATATCTAAGATCTTCTGCATTATTAAATCTTTTTTTAAATCCATGTTCTTCTCAATGTTCTTCAATCACCACCTCCCGTCTTTCATGTTCTAATTTGAGCCAATTGCCTAGGCCTTTTTTTTTTTTTTTGAAACAGAGTGTCACTATGTCGCCCTTGGTAGAATGCTGTGGTATCACAGCTCACAGCAACCTCAAATTCTTGAGCTTAAGCGATTCTCTTGCCTCAGCCTTCCAAGTAGCTGGAACTGCAGGCACCTGCCACAACACCTGGCTATTTTTTGTTGCATTTGTCATTGTCATTTAGCTGGCTCAGGCCAGGTTCGAACCCGCCAGCCTCGGTGTATGTGGCTGGTACCCTAACCACTGTGCTACAGGTGCCGAGCCGGCCTTCTAGACTTTTTTTTTACAGCTACTTGAAATTTCTTTTCATTTCATTCCTCAGGAAGTTCTTCTGTGTGTGAGATTCATGTTTCCTTTTGCTGATGACATTCCCAAGTCATACCAAGAAGGATAAATAGGGAGAAATTTTCTGTGTCATTAAACATCTTACTTCACCTTCATTCATAAATAACAATGTGCTTGCCCATAGAATTTAAGTTCAAAATAATTCTCCCTGAGAACTTTGAAGTCTTACTCTCCTGTTTCTAGTGTCAATATTATAAATGAAAAGTGTGATGACAATCTTATTTCTATTTTTTGGTAGATATCTTGTTATTCGCTCTGCAAGATTTATAGTAGGTATTTAAAATTTTTCAATAATATTTCTTGACACATGGTGAGTATTTTCTAACTGAAATGAATTTTTCTAGTTCTAGAAAAAATATTTTTACTCTTTATTTTGTTATTTTTTCCCTTTTTTGAGTTCATTCTCATATTTTGAAGGAGTTACATACTAATGGCTTTCTAGATCTATCCTACGTCTCAACAGCTTCATTATAATTTTCCTGTTCCGTCATTCTCTGTATCTGCTTTTTTCAAATTTATCTTCCAGATTACTTAGTTCTCAGCAATAGCAATGATTCAGTTCTATTAATTTTTGCAATTTGGGGAATTAGTGTTTAACTTCTCAAGATGTCATTATTGATATCTGTTCCTTTTGCATAGTAGTCTATTCTTATTCATGAATGCACAGTTCCTTCAAATCCTTCTGAGGAGACTAATTTAACCATCTGTCCTTTCTTTTATCTGTTTCTGCTGCAGTCAATTACTCTTTCAAATATCTGGGTATTTTTCTTTGGCCAAATACCTAATAATCCTCTGTTGCTTAGTGATAATTTTTAATAAAAATAATATAATTGATTAGATTGTCAGCAAAGTTTGTTGGAAAACCATTCACCCTTAGGCTTATCACTGACTGATGGATTCCATACTTTCTGTATGCCTGGGTCAAGGACAGGCTTCCTTTTAGGATGTGTGAACAGTTCAGCTTGTACCCTCATTAACTATCAGGGTACTGAGGGCTTTACCTTGGTAGTGAAATTCTGCATTGTGTTTCATTCCAAGATGCAGCTACTTTTCCCCTTTTCCTCCCCCAAGTTGCAGGGAATGTTCTGAGCCAACTCAGACCTTAGGCCTTCAGCCCTGGGAAAATACCCTCCTCTGGGGTTCAAGCCCTTCCTTTGTGCCCAGTAGGGCACATGGGTAGCCAGCTGTTCCTGAGACCTAAGAAGGGAAGAGGAGGCCCTGGAGCCAGAGGTTTCCGTGTCCAGCAATTCCTTGATACTCCCAGGGCTATCTCAGGTCCCACTCCAAACCTACTGAATGTGGATTGCATTTGAACAGAGTTCCTGGTGACTTGGAAGCACAGCCAAGTCCTCAGTAGTCCTTGTTCCTAGGTTTAGCTTTTCTCAATGCTTCACCTCTCAGAGGTTAGGACCCCAGGCTCTGCAGTGAGGACTCACACCCACCTCCTCTTGGTCTCTCCCTTGCTTGCTCCAGGCTGTCCTTTGACAAGACCCATTTTCCTTTTTTTGGTCTATATATATTTCTAACATATGAAATAATATAGTGAACACTTTTGTGCCCATCATCTAGCTTAGACATAAAACTTTAAAAATAAAATTGCAACCTCCACCCCGACTAGTTCCATCATCCGTTCTGAGCACAGCAGGGTAGGACAAACTGCCCTGGGGTGACCCTGCTCCAGTGAAGGTGCACAGGGAGCAGCAGCCTCTGCTGCGGTGGGGACCTGAGACCTCATAGGTGGCCCCAGAAGAGTAAGGTCTCAGGTCTGTACTCATCTACTTGAAAAGGCTGGAACAAACTGGGAAAGGTCCCCCTGGGGTGCTGGGATAGTATGAGGATGGAGGAAGGAAATTTGGTCAAACGTGCATTAATGAGGCTGCCTTGTGAGCCCTAGAGGAGCTTCCAGAGATCCAAGAGACACAGGAGCAGGGAACTGACATCCAGAGTCTCTGCTACAGAAAGCGGCCTCCAGGGCGGGATCCAGAGCCAGGGCAGCAACTGGCAAGAGCAAGGAAGGCACCCGGCCTGCAGGGGACAGTCCCCTGGGCAGAGACAAGTGGATGAGAGGAGGGTTTAGCCACAGGGGGCAAGGACAGTCCAGTGATCAGAATCTGGAATGAGGGTATGGCTCAGGTTTCAAGGTTAAGGATGAGCTCAGACTGGACCACTTACATAAGTGAAGAGGCACATTCCTAGAGACTAGAGCCACTGACTTTCCTCCTGCTGATCAAGAACAAGGGGACTCAACTGGGGAAGAAAAATGGTGAGGACAAGAGAGGGGAAGCCAGGTAGACACAGGGAGCAGGTTTAACACATTGACTCGAGAGCACATGTAGTGAGAGTAAGATGGAGTCGGTCAGCTAGGCCAACGTGACAAGCTGGGCTGGTCAGTTTAGGTCCTATGTGGCCTTCACCTCCTGTTCCCCATTCTTACTGTTTTGTAAAATTAGCTCCCGCCCTAAAGATGTCCGTCTTGAGTAGTTTAGGAGGAGGATCAATTTAGGAAATTCCTTTGAATTAGAAATGTTGTAATAGGTCACTGAGTTATGCTGATTATTATTTAAAAGAAGGGTTAATGCTTTAAGGGTTAATGCTGGTCTTTGCTTTGAACTTTTTTATGGCAGTCTGTTACCCTCTTTGTCGGGTAACAGATCCCCACACTAGAAAAAAAATTTTTTCCTTGGGGCCCACACAGCTCCCAGGGCACCCAAGGTAAAGAGACATGTGAGTTATACTTTGCTTCATGAGGCCCCAGGCTCAAAACCAGCATGAGTTAAACACAACTTAGGTGGCAGTTAATGTGATAATCCAACACTGTCACTTGACTTCAACAGGACAGCTTTTATTTCTCAGCATTTGTGAACAAGCCAATATACCTGAAAGCTTAGCTTTCCCCGACCATCTGTACCACCTCTCCCAACCATACACACACAAACCGTGTGACATAAACCCAGAGCATCAGGAAGACCTTGTTCCACTCTTGGAAATGTGTGCCAGGCACTGTGCTACAAATTGAGACTCTTAGAGGGGTAACACCTTGGCCTTCACACACCTGTCCAGCGTGGAGTCAAACATGCAAACAGATGGCTTCAGCTGGTATGGGAAAGACTATGCTGGGAACGGTCCCAGCTGCACGGCCCTGGAGGCAGGCCCCTCTCCCACACTGAGTGGAGCTGAGTGGCAGAGAGAGGAGCGGAGGCAAAGTGGGAGGGAAACTTGGAAGAGAGACCCATCACGACATGTACCAGGAGCCGTAAGTACCATATCGCCACTGGGCTATGATCCAAGGCCAGTGTGAGATGGTCAGAGATGGTGGACTTTGGAGTCTGGGAGCACTAGGTTCAAATCCTACCTCTGTGCCATACCATTTGTGTGGCTTTGTGTATGTTACTTAATCTTTGGAAACCTTAGTTTTCTCTTCTGATCAGTAGAGGGATGGGGGGGGGAGAAAAGAAATATCTTCATTACTTAGTGACAAGTCCATATTCCTAAGAGGATGGGGATAAGGAAGAATAAAGGACAATTCAAGAAGAAGGCACGTGCCACGCTCATTACTAAATTTGCTTAACATTTATTACTTCTTTTAGGATTAGTAAGTTGTGAACCTCATTAGATGCAAACAATAAGACGTGGAATCGATCAGACTTAACAATAGAAATGGATCAAACTATTTTCTCTTCTTGTTCAAAGTTTACTCCAAAAGTGGTAGTTATTTTTTTAATCCTTGTACAGATATGTTCAGCAGGGGCTACCACATAGGTGTCCCCTAACAAATCCAAGGACATCCACTGTCCCCTGACATAATAAAGTCCATTCAATTATCAATTGACCATGCTAGTGATTAATGGCTGGGGAGACCATCTCCATAATCTCCCCAAAGCCGGGAAATTATGATTTTATTCATTTCTCCTTTGCTTTGTAGATTTTTTTGGTTTTGCCAAATACTTTTAAATGAAAATATCTACCATTTTGAAGAATTCAATCAAGATGATGGAACAAATACTATGAAGACAGACTAGGGAGGAGCACAGCAACTGTTTGCCTTCCTTGTTGTGCCTTCCTGTTCAGAAGTCTTTTCTTCATTGAGTCCATATTGAACAAGGCATCTCTTCATCAGCAGGTAAAATTACTAACCAATCAGGATAAGCTATAGATAAGCTTCCGCCAAGTCACGACATGGCTGGAAATTATGCCACTATATCAGATCACCTCACTGAAAAGCTGACCTCTGCAGCCAGGCCTGGACCACCGGGCTTCACCGTTGGCAAAGGTCAGTGTTTAACAGTGATGGTTTTGATTTCAGTGAAGAAGTCGTAAGAGTCCTTAGCTCCTTCTCTACCTATCCCAGAACTCTTCATCCCCCCAAAAGGAAGGTTCAGCTCTCTGATGAGCCAGCAGTTGGTCCAGACCAAGCCTGACTGCAGCTTCTTAGCCACCCGGTGGACACGCCCCACATCTCTTGACCACACTGTAGCTGCCAGCCCATATTTAACATTGTTGGCTCTTTGGATCACTTCCTCTTCATTATGGAAGGGCGTGACACACGTCACTGGGCCGAATATCTCTTCTCTCATGCAGCAGGATTCATCCTTAATGTCTGTTATCACCGTGGGAAGCATAAAGTATCCTGCCTGGTTCCTGGCGGGTAGGTGCAACTCATCCACTCCCTCCCCACACTGAATGCGAGCGCCTTCAGTGAGAGCTTTCTTGACGTAATTTCTCACCTGGAAGGGCAAAACCATAATTAGCAACATCTTAACTATTTGGCTTCACACAATTCAGAAGAAAATTCAACATTTCCTAATCATCTTGGAAACAGGGATAAGGTTATTGCTAAGAAATCTAGGGTTGATTATGTATCTTATGACTGAGCTGCTAAGCCTGAGGGCAGAGGAGCCCCAACCATCATCATGTGGGCATTTAGCCCTCACAACCGGGAAAGAAGGAAGTCATTTAATGTCTAAGTACCAGGCACTCAGACCAGAGCTTTTCATACATGCCCATTTGATTCTCTCAAAATTCTATTAGCTATTTTTGATATGTTATTATCCTCTATTTTCTGAGGTTATAATTAAGCCTAAGAAAATGAAAATGGTTCATACAGCTAAACAGTAAAGCTAGAACTCACCCTCAGCAGTGTTCTGTAGTTAAATACACAACAGAATATTTTCTCCCTTTTCGGGGGTGTGGGGGGCTATGTTCATTGCAGAAAATGGGAAGTGAATGATGTGTAAGATTTAGTTAAAGGCCAGGATGCTCTTCAATAGCTGAGAACAACACATTCCTAATTTCTACTCCCATTACTGATTATACTCTCAAAATATAATGTATCTAAGTAATACGTTATAGCTAACTACAACAGGAAATAAATTATGTGATACTTTAACCCTGTGACTCAGAAATAATGACAGATGCTTACTAAAATGGGTGTAGAAATAACTCATTATAATAGTGAGATAAATATATATTTTCATATATGGAAATGTTATTAAAGTCACAAGGATTGATTGTTCCATCCCTGAGGGCTATTACAAGCATAAGAGAAGAAGGACAGTGGCCCTAAAAACTAGAAGTACAGAACAGCAGTTAAGTAGTGAATCAGGGTACAAGGTAAATTTCAAAGTGATGTTTCAGATTCCTACTTATCATTTATCTATTTGAGCATTCTGCCCTGGTATTAGATTAGGAATCCGTCATAGAAGTATTTCAATGTGGAGCTATCTGTCTATTTGCCATGTTTAAAAAAAAAAAAAGTCATGTTACTCCATTATTAACTGTGATTGCAGTTTGTAAAATAATTAATAAGCCATGAAGTTAAAGACTTTAAAATATAAAACATATGGCACAGACTTATGTTCCCTTCCACTCACCCTCTTCCTCCAACATCCGCAATGATCTCAACATCCTCTTCCCCAGATCTCACCCTGATCGAGTTTGTGGGTAGAGACTAAACTAATTCTGTGTGTTGTGTGTTTCTCTCCTGAGTCTGCTCTCTTGCTTCTTCTGAAACAACCTACACACACGTTAACTGAAAAATGCCAAAGCTGAGTCCTGTGTGAACAGGGGAAATGAAGGTGAGTACCTCCAGAGGCCCTGCTGGGAGGCGGGACTTTGTCAATGATTCAGAGCTGCACAAGGAGTGCCTGGCTTCAAGCTGTCCTTTCTGAACAAGATGCCGTGATTTATCTCCCAGAAGCTCCTGGGGTACTAACATATGAAGCGATGTGTGAGTTTTCAAATCATGAATTACCAAAACATTTAATACCTGAGGAGACTCACACTAAGTTGAATTTATTTCCTAGAGACCACAGGACTGGATGATAGGATGCTATCCACCCTAGCAGCTGAGGAACAGAGATTTTCGATAAAATCAGGGGAGGGGAGACTTGTGACTGATATGTAAGGAATAATTATAAAACTTTTTTGACGAGGAGATAATAGTTATTAGCTTTGGGCATGAAATCAGAGCATAGAGGTTAAGAGAGTGGACTTGGGGGCCAAACTTTATTCAAGTACCAAACAGTTCCTTCCTTCACTAGCAGGTCACGGCAAGAGTGGACCTTAGTTAGGCCTGACTCTGGGCCCTCTTGGGGGATGTACCACGAACTCCCTCTATGCTTCCTCCAGCTTCATTGTAAACTCTCCAGAATTTTCTCTTTCCAGTTGCTCACATCTTGGGGCAGGCAGGCACATAGCCAGATTCCCAGAGTGTACACTGAGGAAAGATTCAGGAGGGTAGGAAGAAAAACAAAAAGCAACCCTGTGTAAGGAAATAGGAGCCTTTTCTTCATTCCATGAGGACAGAGTCCCCTGCAGGTCAGTGTGTGTCCCTGTGGAGTCACTGGGACTGTAGCAAGTCACACCCGCATTTAGCAGCATGCTGCCCTTTGGCCATTACAACACAAATTTTACATATTCAAATCATATACACAGACCCCAGACTCCGCATGGCCACCTAGATTTGGATAAGATGAAAGACACCGTGCAGGGGCAGAGGGTGCTGGAGTACAAAGGAGGAGCCAGGCTTCCTGGACACGCAGCCCCCAAAGCCTTGTGGAGAGAAGGGAGGAAAGATGCCCACCAGCAGAGGGCACCACCACCTCCTGCCTGCCAGATGGTTGGCACGCTGAACTGAAAAGTCACAGCCCAAAAGGCCACACTTACTCTTTGCCACTTGCTTTTATCAGTTCCATCCCAAAGGGCAGAGACAGGAGGGCTTTCTCAGGAGAACTGAGCTGACGGCCCCCATCTGGAGTTTGCCTGTGAGAGACTCAGAGGGTGAAGTAGTTTCTCTTGCATTAGAGAACACGTGTTCCATGTGGAACAGTGAAGCTGGCAGACATCCAGGCACCCTCTGAGCCACAGCCAGATGGGGTCGGCAGGCAGGTTTCCAGCAGAGAGGCCAGATCCCTCTGAGGCCTTGTCTGGAGAAGGCATCTGGCAGAGCTAAGGGGAGGTCTACGCTAGGTGGGAGGGATCCAACAGAAAGGACGTAAAAAAAGACAGTTTTATATGTGGTCGGGCGATGGAAATACCATCTTTATTGTTCTTCCCTCTAAAAGATTGGCTGATACTATTTTCAGGTTTTTAACTGTGAATAACTTTTTCACAGTGTGCAAAATCTTTCCCCGTTAAGCAGTGGAACTTTGGAGCTTTCTGAGAGGAGCGCAAACTATTGAGCTGTGCTTTATTTTAATAGGAAGAAAAGTGGCTAAAAAGTTATTTTCTGTAAGGAGTAAGTAGGAAATCAAAAGTAGCTGAATGAAAAGCCTGCAGTTCAGTTAACAGTAAAGCGCCAGTGTCGGTTTCTCAGTGGGGACACACATACCTTGGCTACGTGACATGCTCATGATAGGAAAAAACTGGGGAGTGGATATAGAAATTCTCTGCCTCATCTTTGAAATTTCTATAAATCTTAAATTAGCACAAAATAGAAAGTTTATTTTTTAAAAAAGTAATTGAGAGAGAAAATAACCAATGAGAAAAATACCTAGGGTCTTTAAAAACTTTTGTATAAAAGATAAGCATGTGCTATGGCCTGGTTTTGAACATGGTCAGAAAAAATTAATAACGGTTAAGTTTCATCATTTGCAGAGTGACCTATGGTACCCAAGTTTACTAAATTGAAATGATATGAAGATAACACAACAACATAGGAAGTAAATGCTTGGCTTGCTGGCATAATTTGTCTTTTAGAAGATGGCATTGCTGGACTTATTTTAGGGAGACTCTGGCACCGTGGAGGGCCTTACCAATGTTTCAAGTCTTGAAAAAAATCGAATATCAAAAGCAGTTTCAATCTGCTAGGTCCCTTGGCTTTTGTCCGCAGCTTCTGTGGTACTGAGGCCGGAAATAATGAGGAGTGAAATCCTTCCCTTCTCCCCTTCCTTTACCCTTCCTTTAGGAAAGGATGGAGTTGGTAAAAACACAGCCATAAGTTGAGGCAAGTTTATTACTTTAAGGAGGTACAAGGGATGAAAATTAGTTGTAAAGGTATCAGACATGAGAATCTTCTCCTTGGGAGTCATTGTGATCAAGCCCAGCCAAGCACTGCATGCCCCCTGCTTCCCTGTGTGCGCAGCTGGGACCTGGCCAGGATGAGCTGAGCCCAGGGAAACCAGGCTCTCTCTGCCTGTCTCAGTCTGGACTCCTCTAAGAACTTGTTTGCCCGGCCCTGCACCATCAGTGAAAAAGAAAAAAGGAACTTGTTTGCCAAAACCCACACAGGGAGGGAGCTGTGTTGAGGCAGGGGAGGGCCCTTCCTCAGAAGGCAGGTGGGGGCTCCTCCCTGCTGTGTGCAGGTGCTGCTAGGACAGCACAGGCAAAGTGAGACCTCTGCTGCCCTCTGAGTCCAGAGGGAGTCTCAGTCTGCAGCAGCTCCTGCAATTCACTTGGAGAGGAACACCTGCGAGATAAGAGTGAATTACAGACCCTGGCCCCACCCAGCTCCACAAGGAAGCTCCCTGCCTGCTGGGACTCCAGGCCATTGGACCTGTGGACGCTCTCTGTATCAAAATAGAGTCACTATGTCAAACCCTAATACAATGGAGTTGGGAGCCCCTGAAGAGAGAAAGGGTCCTCATACATATTTGCCTGATAGCAAGAACTAGCAGAGATACCACCACCCCACAACCTTGCACAAAGGCCAGTGCAACCTTGCACAAAAAGTACTTCTACAAGGATGCTCACACAGCAGCTGCCTATTCAAACTTGGACTGATGCCACCGCTGTTATTGATCATTGTAACCAAGGATAATTGCTTTAAAACAGCATATGTCTCCTCCCTCATTTTACCTCTAAAAACCCTTACCTTCCACCACACCCACACATATCCTGGCTTATCATCTCCTATCATTCATTCCTGAAGAACATCATTTTTTTCTTTAGAGTCTTTCTCTCTGTTGCTGTTTAAGGTTGGCAGACCCTAACCACTCACCTACTGAAGTAAAAGTAATTCGGTCTTCTCTGTGGAGTCACTCACGGACACTACATTCAGGGTGTATCTTTTACTCTAGAGAATAAAATGTGGTCTTTTTTTAGAGACAAAGAGTCTCACTTTGTCACCCTTGGTTGAGTGTCGTGGTGTCACAGCTCACAGCAACCTCCAGTTCTTGGGTTTAAGCAATTCTCTTGCCTCAGCCTCCCAAGTAGCTGGGTCTACAGGTGCCCGCCACAATGCCCAGCTATTTTTTGGTTGTAGTTGTCATTGTTGTTTAGCAGGGCCAGGCTGGATTCGCACCTGCCAACTCCAGTGTATGTGGCCAGTGCCCTAGCCGCTGAGCTACAGGCGCTGAGCCACATGACTACAATTTTTGAAGTTCCTAATTGGCATTTTAAAAGTTGGATTTATATAACAGTCAGGTACTGAAGATCCATATTTAGGACAAGGCTTTTAAGAAACTGCAATTCAATACTAAAGACAGACACTTGTGACGCAAGCTGAAACAACCGATGCTGGCACCACTGAAAAGGTGGAAGTAAAAGGGAAGATTTAAGCAAAATCTCAAAGGCTTGTATGCATCTGTAGGTCCCTTTGTCATTGTTAGGATTTAATGTTTATCCTTTTCAGAGTCTTGGTGCTGAGTCATGCTAGCAAGAGGGAGCCAGGACCAAGGAATTCTGTTCCAAATTTCAGGTAGTTTATGCAGAGGATCAGAATGAATTTGAGGAAAATGGGTACTGTAGGTTTGAGGCATGCACTGTAACCGAAACACACAATCTGGTGTTAACTGAGTCATTTCCCCAACCATTACTATGAACCTACTGTGTTCCAGGAGCTTTTCTAGAGTGTAAGGTTATAGAAGTGAATAAAACTGACCTTGAAGCTTACATTCTAGTCAAGGGAAGGTAGGCAGTAAAGGGATAGGTCATATATAGTACATCAGATGCTATTAAGAACCATAGAGAAAAGGCACCAAAGAAGTAGAGAAAGTTCCAAGGGGTATATTTTCATCTAGGGTAGGCAAGAAAGCCCCCATTCAGAAGGCAACATTTGATCTAAGGAGGGGAAGGAGAGAGCCAAGAAAATATCTGGAGAAAGAGCATTCTAGGCAGAGCGACCAACATGAGCAAGGACAGAGAAGCAGGAGGGTGCCTAGAATTTTCAAGGAAGAACAGGGAGGCCAATATGTAGAAGTGGAATGAGGGAGGGGACGTTCCCAGAGGTAACAGAGAACAGAGAATAGATGGCCACCTAGGCTCTGACTGTGATGCATAACATGGCACATCACCAGGCGATGAAATAACTATGATGTCAGAGCAAGTTGAATAAGTAACTTAGCTAAATTGGAAATGTCTGCAGGAACTCAGCACTACAAGGTTTTAAGCCGCCTCCTTTGGATGCCGTCAGGGTCCTTGTCATGTCATGGGACATTACCTAACGAGCACCCAAGGGTCAGATGCTGGCGTTGATTACTGTCCTCCACTGAAAGAAATCAAGGCTCGGTAGAGAGAGCGCCTATTGTCCATGGGGAACAAAGCAACTCAGATGGCCTGAGACCACCTGTCAGAATGTAGAGGTACCTACAGGTGGCCTCTGTCAGAAGCACAGACAGCCAGTCAAAGAGGGGGCTCCCGGGATGGCTTTGAAGGTGAGGGAATAGGGCCTATTGGGTGTTATATTTCATAAACCCACAGAATACGTGATCATAAAACATTAATAAATGACACTCCTGGAACTCAGTGCTTTGTATAAATCATCACAATAGTAAACATGTAATTCCCCAATAATGGCCCATTTATGTTTAGTCCATCTTTGAAAAAAATAATAAAAAGGAGGGCTCCTATGGCCAAGCAGGGACATGCCCCCCAATACAAAAACTACTGCTGGAAATCCACAGTGAAGACAGTGCACTGACACCTGTTGAGCCTGTCACTGGCCTAAGTTCATTATGCAGCCCAACGGGGCAACATACAGTGTGACAGGGGACAGCCATAGCTGCCAGTAGGAATCAAAGAGTGACATCAGTCTCTCTCTCTCCTCCCTCTCTCTCTAACGCAGGTGCACAGAAGGAGACACTGTGTATGTTTAGGGGCTGCAGATCACTCAATTGATACAGAAAAGTCAAATACTTACATTTGTTTCATTAATACAAAAAAAAAAAAAACCCAGTTTATCTGCTGAGTTGATATAAAAGAACTTTGCAACTTGAAGTGGGTGAATTCTAAAGGGCACCTCAGACTGTGCTATGGCCTGAACCTACTGGAAGATACCTGTCGGATGTTCGGTAACTTTTGTTCCACCCCTTCCTGCTTTAGCAGAAGAGAACATGCTAACGTTGCTCATCACCAGTCATTTGCAGGTGTCGCAGGCAGGGACTCAGCTCTAGTGTCCAAAAGAGCCAGATGAGAGAGAGAAAAGACAAGGGAGCCTCTCGCCACTGGTGAACCCCATCTCCACCTGTGGGGCCCATGGACATCCTGAGGACTGCTGCCTTTGCATTTTCAAGATAGTAGGTAAACTTGGCTAGAGAAAAATATGGCCATGCTGGCCAGCCCCACTTTAAATCAATGACCACGAGCCTCAAGTGAGCCCTTTGAGCTGCCTGACGATTTTATCATTCCCCAGTCCTTTTTCTCTCCTGGCCTTCTGAAGCATTATTTCATGCCCCTCCTCCTTCCTGAAACCTTCAGAACCTTCCCTTCTCCTCACCCCACTGCCTATCACACTGAGAGAAGAAAAGAAATAAGAAGAGACCATCAATCTCTACATCGTCCCATCTACAAGCATCTGTGCTGCAGCATTGTGAAGATCAAAGTTCTGTGGAGTGATGTCCAGTACACTGTGCAGGGTCAGGGATTTCAACAAACCTAGGTGAAGGCTCGCGCCAAGCCATGCTGCAGCATTATAAAAATCAAAGTTCCGTGGAGTGATGTCCAGTACACTGTGCAGGGTCAGGGATTTCAACA